CTGTGGCAGCAGAAACTCGCACAGGCCGCAAAACTTGGCATTACGGACATGCCGACTGGGAGGGGCTCAGAGACTTCTTCTCTAGCTTTCCTTGGAGAGATGTCTGTTTCACTGACGCGGATGCATCGACTGTCTGTTCTTCAATAACCGAAATTATCCACGTCGGAATGGAGGAATACATCCCTCACACAGTGAAAGTTCCTAAACCAGGGTCCAACGGCTGGTTCAACAAATCGTGTGACACTGCTCGCCAGCAGAAGATCAAGGCCCACAGAACCTACTTACAAAACCCCACTGTAGAGAATAGACAAGCCGACGTCGAGTCCAGAAACAAATATAACGAAGCGGTTCGCAATGCCAAAAACCATCATGATATAAAAGTTAGGCACAGGGTAATGTCGCAGCGCAATGGCAGTCGGTCTTTCTGGACGCTGGCCAAGCAGATTGAAAAGAACTTCTCACACAGTAGCCTTCCACCACTTACGTGTCAGGATGGAACTATTGTATTCGACTCAAAGGCCAAGGCGGAAGTGCTAGCCAAGATCTTTGCTGCCAACTCCACCATGGACGTCCCCACCAACGCCCAAGTGCCGTCAATTCAAAGGGTTCCCCACACTATGCGGGAAGTAACATTCAGGCATAAGACCGTAAGATGAGTGCTCTTGTCGCTCGACATCAACAAAGCTTCTGGTCCGGACTTGATTTCTGCCATTGTACTGAAGAGATGTGCAGCGGAGCTTGCTCCAGTTCTTTCGCGTCTCTTCCAGATATCTTATGAATCCGGCACCTTCCCAGAAAACTGGAAATTTGCTCATGTACAGCCCATCCCAAAAAAAGGATCTAAAACCGACCCTTACAACTACAGGCATATAGCTCTGCTTTCTGTTATAAGTAAAGTGATGGAGAGGTGCATAAATCGCGAGCTTCTGGACTACCTCGAACGTCACAGCTTGATTAGCGACAGGCAGTACGGTTTCCGGCACCAACGATCCACAGGGGACCTCCTAGCTTACGTCACGCAACTGTGGAGTAAACTCATCCAGTCTCATGGTGAGGCTCATGTCGTTGCTCTTGACATCACGAAAGCGTTCGATCAGCTGTGGCACGCTGCCCTCTTAAGCAAACTTCCATCCTACGGCCTCCCAGCTTTGCAGATGGGTGGCTGACTTTATCTATGGCCGCAAGATATCCGTCGTAATTGACGGATTCTCCTCTTCATCCCACAACGTCAACGCGGGTGTTCCCCAGGGATCGGTCTTGGCTCCAACACTGTTTCTCTTACATATCAACGACCTCCTTTCCTGCACGATCAACCCAATCCACAGCTTCGCTGATGACAGCACTCTACATGCAGGAATTCAGAGTGACAAGCCGATCTCTGCCGCTGAGCTGGAAAAAGAAGACTAGCGACGACTTCTTCTCTGACAAGAGACCTGGAGGCTATCACTGCTTGGGGACGCAACAATCTTGAACAGTTCAATGCTTCCAAAACACAGTACTGTACCTTGACGAACAAAAAGCGTCCTAGCGCTCATACAGTTTCGATGGACGGTCGAGTTCTACCAAAGAGCCATTCATTTCGGCTGGTCGGAGTCCAGATCACCGAGGACCTGATCTGGCACGAACACATCTCTTCAATAGCTGCAGCTGCTGGGAAAAAGCTAAGCTATTTGTTTAGGGCTAAGAAGTACTTTTCTCCGCATGACCTTCTCACTCTATACAAGGCCCAGATAAGGCCTAGCCTCGAGTATTGCTCACACATTTGGGGTGCTGCCGCCCCGACTACATTGTCCATGCTCGATGCTGTCCAGAGGAGGGCGGTCCGACTGATCGATGACTCTTCTCTAACAGACAGTCTCGGGACTCTTTCGCACCGGCGGGCCGTCGGCGATCTAGCTCTTTTCTATCGCTACACCAACGGGCTTTGCTCCTCAGAGCTCTCCTCCATGATGCCGCCGCTCGATGCGCCTGCCAGACAGACCCGCCTGACTTCGGCATCCCATCCTAACCGTGTCAAACTTCGTACATCCAGAACTGACCGATACGACCGCTCCTTTGTCCCGAGGGTGTCTAGATTGTGGAACAATCTACGGGAGGAAGCTTTTCCCAGTTCTACTAACCTTAGGCAGTTCAAAAATCGTATTAACAAAATTTCTTTGGGATCATCATAGCAGCCGCGGGGTTCCGGCATTTAGGCTTCTGCCTGCGCGGCTGTTTCGATATAAAAAAAAAGATCATCTGCATCCTGATATTCAGAGGCAGGTCTTCGAGATACTCCCAGTGTTCGGATATCAAAAAGTTTTCATAGGATTCGCCATTCAGGTTGTCAGGCAAAAAAACTGGTCCAATTAGATACGTATGAATGATTCCCATCCACACGTTTGCCGAAAATCTTCTTTGATGGGCTCTTGGCTTTGCCATGTGGGGATTTGCCTCTCGTGGGGCCCAATAATATAAGTTGTGATAATTTGTTGTCCCCTCTCTGTCAAACTTAGACTCGTCGGTCCACAATATTTTAGTTAAATAGTCGTTTTCTTCTTGATCCCGATGAAGCATGTATCGACAAAAATTAATTCTTCTTGCGGGATCTCCTTCTTCTAATACTTGAACCGGTGTGTAATGGAAAGGGTAAAGTCTCGCCGAATGCAAAACGAACCAAACTTTCCACTGAGTTAAACCAAGCAGCTTTGCTATAACTCGTGTAGACGTCGTCGGGTCTCTGCCGTAGCATTCCAGTATTGCCTCTCGATCTTCGTCGTCAAACAACCGAGGTCTACCAGCATCATGACGTCTCTCATGAACCTGTCCACTTTCCTAGACGCGTTGGTACACAGAAGCAAATACTCGATGACTCGGTATTCACCGATTCGGAAAACGGTTTTCGTATTCTCGCCTGGCTTCAACGGAATTTCCATCACTTAAACCATAACAAAACAGAATATCAGCGTATTCTTCGTTACGGTAACTCGCCATTATTAAAACTGATCAAAAAAGTAAAAGTACGTCCTACCGCGTTAAAGGTTGATATTCTACTAACTAACCTAAGCGTTAGTTCCCTTTCCTTGATCCGTCAGCTGTGTCAATTCATAACACACGCAGAGCTTGCTTCCGAGGAGCGACGACAGATTCCGAATACTTAAACCCGAATAACGGCACAGGGCACAAAAAATAACAAAAAGGGTCGAACCATGATAGGCTCGGTTTACCTGGTCAGTACAATGAAATGCGCTTAGCGGTCCTTTCTAGCAAAGTAATATTGTTTTGTTAAATGGTTTACTTACTGATATGTTATTATACCATTTTAGAAACCTAATGAAATGAGGAAGTTTTTGCAGTTATTTGTACATTTTCTTTATTATGATTTTTTTGAAAAAAAAAGACTTCTTAATGTGAAAGTTGAAAATAAAAATTTTCATTCAACATTTAAATGAAAATAAATACATTTTCAGTAGTGTTTTCATATGTTTTTTAATTTATGAGCATTATTTATTTGAATAATAACCTGAAACCACTAAAAAAAGAATGTTTAATCACCAACTTTTTTTTATCTCAACTATTTTACTCTGTAATCTGGGTTGTTTTTAAAAAAAAATTAAAACTTCCATAACTTTTTAACCTTTGAATATAGGGTATGGTATTATATACTAATTTTGATAGCAAAGGAGCTGTACTATCACCTCCTAAAATGTTTTACAAATATTTACCTGTCACCCTGTATATATATATATATATATATATATATATATATATATATATATATATATATATATATATATATATATATATTATACTCATCATGAAGGCTAAAGATAATTTGAAATCTTTCTGTGATAAAGTGCTATATTGTACTTTCATCAATGGTTAAAACTATATTATGCAAAATTTCGTGATCGAACATAGGCATTTTAGACAAAGTCTTCTCAAAGTAATTTATTTTTTATTGTTGCTTAAATTTTCGAATCTGCATAATAATAATAATAATAATAATAATAATCATAGATCGCAATAGTAATCGTAATTATATTTACTACGAGTATGTGTAAAGGAACAGTCACTCCATGTTCAGCCTCATTCTGCATGAATCTCAATACCAAGGCAACAATTTCTTGGCTTTGACCACTTGAAACTTTATTTGCAACTCTACTCTCTATTTTTCAGAACCTTCGAGTATAAATTGTAACAAACTACAGCTAGCGCAATTAAAATTTTTACTGGAGCTGTACGCACGATGCTACCTCGATCGCTGTTGGATATCCCCACTACATTCCGACGTGTCTACCGCGCATCTGACCTTGAGAGACCACGTTAGATTTGTCAAACTGTAAAAATGTTTGGTCGTTTTTTTTGACATTTCGCAGGATTTTTGTGACACAACATAGGTTTTTCTAAAAGATATTAACAAGCTGTTGTACACTTGTTGTCAGCGAACACCGATCATAGCGAGAAAACGTGGAATGAACTATTTGCACACTAAAAACTACCTAGTCTGCAAGATGACATTTCGTCGGTTGTTTGACGTTTTTTAGGTTTTCTTAATACTCCTGCAGTGTGACTAGTGCAGAACGCTCTATTCCAGTGTTATGTAAAGCTAAAATTATTTCTAACATCATTAATATTTGTTAAAGGTCTTGTGTGTTAGATTATCGTTTCATGTGTAGTGACCTACAGAAAGTATATGATATATAATTAATTACTGCAGTTGAAAGTAATTCCTACAGTTTTACTTTAATTCATCTTCCTCATACATACTTGTATATTGCACTCGGCGTCTATGCGCGGACGTTCGTTTGTGTATGCTCACAGATGTAAGTTTTTTAGTTTTGTCTCACCGCCTGCGCCTTTCTCATCAATATTTGTTAAAGGTCTTGTGTGTTAGGTTATCGTTTCATGTGTAGTGACCTACAGAAAGTATATCCTTTCCGCCCTTCTCATCAACGTATGAGTCTTCTACATTTATACTTGCCACTGTATGACAGCTTACTTGTCATTGACGTGCGACTTCAGTTTACCTTTTTTTGATTTTCGATATAAAACAGTATAGCCTGAAAATACAACTACAATGTCGATAGTCTGCGTTAGATTTGTTGCAGTATTTTAAAAAAGGGAATGAGAACGATACCCAATTATATGTGTACAAAAGTGAGTAGCAGCTGCGCTAAGGATCGATTTGCACATTTCCCTCAAAGAAGCTTAGCTCCGCACAAGGTACTTTATCAGTCTGTCCACTTATTTCGTATGGTAATGTGACGTAAGGCCAAAGACCTTGAAAAGAACAATAGATGTTTTTGGGAATCATTCCAAGACCCAGAAGCTTTGTTGGTGTCTAGTAACTTGCCTTATGTCTTTATGTCACTTTCCTCATAGTGCAGGGAACAGTTTTACTTTTCATACATGCTGACGCGAAAGTATTGTAATGGCGAATAGTTTCGTGAGATGTTATGTGTTTGAATGTTATATGACATGTACATACCGAAAAACCACATGATCCATTTCCGTCGGTCTGTTGGTGCGTCAATCTGTCGTCGGACTGTTTGTCGGCCTGTCTGTCCGCTAATCCTTGGCCCATATATAACTTTTTTTATCACATTCTTACACAAGGTTATTACTATGCCAAGGACAAACAAGCTTGTTTTTCTTGGAAAAATGGACCAGTGGTGGCTTAGAAAAAGGCCTAAAACAAAAATCAATAAAAATCTCCCAAACCTTTTTTGACGTTTCAGGGGATCCTGATCATGTTTGAAAGAATTTTTAGGGGTGAAAAATTAAGTGTCGAAGGGCCGTAGGGGTGGGGGAGAGTTATGTCAATTACGTTGATTTTAGTATGTTTATACGTTCCCAACCGCGGTAGTTCTACGCACCTATTAGACATATTTCACACAAATTATAGATTTCAGAGTACATTTGCCCTTAAAACAATGATAGAGAAATACTTTCGATATGCGTCACTGCTTCTGCAGTCTGAGATCACCGGCGAGCGTACTGGTCCTGGTAAGTGTTCTGGCCTTCCTGTGCCGTCAGTTATCGGGGAAAGGCCTCGTTGCCATATGGACTAATTGTAGGGCAGGGAAAGAATTTCTATGGATTAATTATGTGGGACTGTTTGACTGACTGACGTCCGTGTAATTTACTTGTTGTACATGTTCGTAGCTAACTTTTTTATTAGAAGATCTTACTTGTGCGTAATACAATTCTTTATGATCTGATGACGGCGTTGAGTGGGAAGTACAGAGTCAACCTACTTAAGGCCACTTTTTGTATAGACAGCATATTGGAAGGGACGTCCACTTGGAATCAATTACAGCCATTTTGTCCTGGTCCGACAATGGTGGAACACGATTCTTTAAGAAGTTTCCTTCCATCTGATTAACGAGAAACCCGAAAGAACGACTTATATTCTACTGCGACGCATCTTGACTGCGCCTGATGTCCACGACGCGGATTCTCTACGGTAATTTAGCCAATTACTTTCTGGCAATTATATTACTATAGTTGTAGTCACCGTTCTTGGCGGATCAAAGTAAGACTATCAGTATCCCTTTATATTCTCCATCTCTCTCATACATAGACATGCTACCTAGCACTGTGTGTGAACGTTTGTTCGGTAAGCTCACACACATCCGTTTTTTAGTTTTGTGTCTCCGTCTCGAAAACTTCAATCATATTATTTGTCAGAGTTGTCCTGTTATCAATATTCAATATAAAATTGTGCAATGCCTGGAAATACGATCAGTGGCGAAGGCCGACAGCTCGGGCTAAATTTATTAGTATTTCCAGGAAGAGAATGAAATCAGCGGTTCCCTATTACCCACTTCAAACGTACTGGAAATAGTGGCAGATGCGCTGAAGATTAGTCTGCGCCCATGGTACGGAAACTCGATCTGTTTACTTCTTTCATATGGCGTTGATGACGTAACGTATATATATATATATATATAACAACAAGTAGGAAAATAATGGGCAAAATCCGCAAAAAGGAGGAAAGTGGATTCGAGCAGAAAATAGGATAGGTAACCCGAGCGATACGTATTTCTGCTGGTTGGCTTCATCAGGCCCGAAATGAATGCACATATGAAACTACAAAAGTAGATACACATGCCCACACATCCGGATTTTGCCCATTATTTTCCTACTTGTTGTTATATACCTTTCTCCGCATGATCATATTCTCTTTGTAGATCCTTTGTGCTTGAAGTACCACAGCAAGTGGCTATAACCGGCCGCGTGGTTATGGTTAGACGTCTCCTTGAAAATTCGAGGTCGTATAGCCATTTTATACTACAATGTGTAGGTTGGCTCTTGTTGTGGACTTCGTGTGTCGTTTTTTTTTCCCTCCAACTTCGTTTCCTCAGGTTACACCCGTATCCGGATGTGTGGGCATGTGTATCTACTTTTGTAGTTTCATATGTGCATTCATTTCGGGCCTGATGAAGCCAACCAGCAGAAATACGTATCGCTCGGGTTACCTATCCTATTTTCTGCTCGAATCCACTCTCCTCCTTTTTGCGGATTTTGCCCATTATTTTCCTACTTGTTGTTATATACCTTTCTCCGCATGATCATATTCTCTTTGTAGATCCTTTGGGCTTGAAGTACCACAGCAAGTGGCTATAACCGGCCGCGTGGTTGTGGTAAGACGTCTCCTTGAAAATTCGAGGTCGTATAGCCATTTTATACTACAATGTGTAGGTTGGCTCTTGTTGTGGACTTCGTGTGTCGTTTTTTTCCCCTCCAACTTCGTTTCCTCAGGTTACACCCGTATCCGAATGTGTGGGCATGTGTATCTACTTTTGTAGTTTCATATGTGCATTCATTTCGGGCCTGATGAAGCCAACCAGCAGAAATACGTATCGCTCGGGTTACCTACCCTATTTTCTGCTCGAATCCACTTTCCTCCTTTTTGCGGATTTTGCCCATTATTTTCCTACTTGTTGTTATACATATACCTTTCTCCGCATGATCATATTCTCTCTCTCTCTATATATATATATATATATACAGGGTTATCCAAATTAAGTGTCCACCATTAGTAACTTTGTTATTAGTGAAAATACAAAGTTGTTTGAATTAGCAAACTAGTAGCATTTTTAACGCTGGTAAAAATGAGAAATAAAAAAAAACAATTGAGAGTCGTTATTTTGATTTTTTTCAGTAAAATAACATTTTTTTAAATGGAAACCCCTGTATATTATATTTTTTTCTGTTAAGGCATCAAATTTTAAACAAAAAAGTTCATAATGACTTTTCCGCTAAAGTCAAAAATAAAGTCAAAATAACGATAAATATTTTTAATTATTTGCAGTATTATAATATTAAGACGGCTATGAAAACAACATGGCGTTCGCGATTTGACTGCATTAAGATAAGCGACAAATTGTTAAACTGGACATACTCGCAACTAGAAGGCTTTGGAAAACAATGATAAAATCAAATAATGTCAAACATTAGTGTAAATACTTGTTTATAAGCTTTATTGTGTCATTAATTTAAAGAAAAATGTTCTCCCATGAAGAAAAGTGTGATATGTTAGAATGCTATTTAGTGTGCAGAAAATCCTCCTTGAGAGCAAGAGAATACTACAGTGAATTATATCTCGCTCGCATTCAACAGTATGAACGATATTTTCTGAGACTTTATCGAAAATTTAGGGGCAACGAAAATGTTTTTGCTAAAACAAGGGCAAAAAAAGAATTCATAATAAGCGAGGCCACGGAAATTGCAGTTATTGGATATTTTGAAGCTTATCGTGAGAATTCAATAGCAGATATTCTCAAGGACTCTAATTTCAGTTATGGTACTGTTCAAAGGATTTTAAAAAAATATAAATTTATTCCGTATAAGTACCGACCAGTTCAAACGCTTTTGGCAGGGGATCCAGAGAGAAGACTTGTTTTTTGCCATTGGTATCTTAGCTTCTGTCGCCAAAATGTAAATAACTTTCGTTACCTTTTATGGACAGATGAATCAAATTTTTCAAATTCTGGAATGTTTAATAGAAAAAACCACCATTATTGGTCAAGAGAAAATCTTTTGTTAGTACATCCAAGAGGCCCACAAGTCCGTTTCAGTTTCAACGTTTGGTGCGGTATAATTGGTTCAAAAATTGTTGGCCCGTTCTTTTATGAGGGAACCCTAACTGGTGAAAGATATGTGGAATTTATGTCAGAAATTCTGACTAATTTCTTAGACGAATTGGATCTTATAAGTAGACATCATCTGCATTTTCAGCAAGATGGCGCACCTGCCCACAACTCCAGAGGTACTTATCATTTTCTAAGTACTACTTTTAATGATCAGTGGATAGGAACAAATGGCCCAATACAGTGGCCTCCCAGATCACCAGATCTAAACCCACTTGATTACTTCTTGTGGGGTTACTTAAAGAACCAAATTTACAAGCGAAGGTACGATAACCTTGACGCGTTAAAGACTGCAGTTAGGGAAAAGATAACCCAGATAGATGGTAGGACCATACTTAAGACAGTTCGAGCAGTTGAAAAACGTGCCCAAAAATGTATTGAAGAACAAGGTGGTGTTTTCGAGCATCTTCTTTAAAAAAAATTGTTATTGTATTTTGTAAGATTATAAGTTGATGTTGAAAATAAAGTTTGTCGATACAATTTAATTTTTTCAGATTGGAGGCCATAACTTCAACAATTTGTAACCTAGGAGAAAAGTTATTGTAAGCTTTTTTGTTTAAAATTTGATGCTTTAACAGAAAAAAATATAATATACAGGGGTTTCCATTTAAAAAAATGTTATTTTACTGAAAAAAATCAAAATAACGACTCTCAATTGTTTTTTTTATTTCTCATTTTTTACCAGCGTTAAAAATGCTACTAGTTTGCTAATTCAAACAACTTTGTATTTTCACTAATAACAAAGTTACTAATGGTGGACACTTAATTTGGATAACCCTGTATATATATACATAGGGTGGCCCATCCATGTATGGACGGAATATTACTCATAAACAAATACATTCTGGGAAAATCTATTTACGGCATGCTATGCATGACATTTGAGGGCACATTTCTAAGATATTGGCAATTATACAGGGTGTCCCAATTTTGACCTACATATCAAAGTTCTGATTTTTTAAATGGATTGCCTCAAATTTTATTGCATATTTGGATAAATCGCAACGCAAATTGTACTTTTTCTCAAAAATTTAAAATGCATCACTCTGTATATTTGTGCAAGTTTGG